CAGCACCCTAGAAAGTTTCTTTAAAAAAAATAAAGTCTCTAGTTCCCCCAAGCACTGTACCCGTTACTGGAGCTGCTGTCTCTCCCTCTTCTAATTATACCCATGTGAGTCTATTAATCAACTTGTAAATTATTTAGAGAGCCATGCGCTGTCTTCAGCTAGTACAAACACACTGCATGCAAAGACTTGCTGAAAACCAATGGAGCTCCCAAAGGGTCTCTCTCCAATGTTCAGACAGCTTGCAGCTCGCCAGTACAGCGCTGTTAAAAACAAGAAATAACACTAAGCTTACCTCCTCAGATATAAAGATTTACTCAGCCTTTCAACTCTGAAACTCTTTGCAAGTTTTTAACAAAGACGAAGCTGCTCTATTGTCAAATCTGTACTTCACACTGAGTGACGAGAATATTAATTTGATGTAAAAAAAACCAACAACCCCAAGTGCTTTCAGTGAGACTGTGATCACAATCACCAGGGGACCCCAACTTTCAGAGGCTCCACCAAAAAGCACCCCTTTAAAACCATTCCAATTTAAAATAATGGGGGAAAATAATCTACATTTGTACAGTAATAGTTTTTATTAGAAAATAGGAGAAATTAGGGAATTCCAGATTTTAGCCCCTACATACAAGCTGCCATTGGGGACCACTTCAGATATTACTACTTAAAAAAATAGAAAAAGGGGAAAAAACAACACAGATTGTGTGTGTTCAGCTCTAACAGGCTGCAAGCAGTGCAATGTTCTGTGTCTTCCATGAATCAGCTCTCTTTACCACCTGAATCTTCATTTTGGTAGAAAAAACAATTACCCAAACTAATAGCAGTTCTCCCAGCTGAAAAGCAGAATCTTACTGGTTTGGAAGTGGTTTTTTTTTCTAGCCCCAGCTCTTCATGCTGTTTTCCTGTCATCTCATTTTTCTTGGCTTCATTTATTGCAGCCTTGCAAACAGATATATTAATTAGTGATCACTCCATGCTATTGCAGCATGAGAACACAGCACATTGAACAGTGGCATGCAAATTCCTTTCCAACTAACTGATGACCATTCCTATTTTTGTGATGCCCCCAACACCAAAAAGCTTCAGCTTCTATTTTCATTAATCAAATGCAAACATCACAAGGGGCAAACACTAGGGATATTTAGGGGGATATGCTTTCTCTATTTTTTTTCCTCTCTCAGGGTATCAAATTCTGACAGACACCTTTAAAATGATGAACAGAGATCCTGCAGACGGACCCTTAAATTAATGCATGCCCATGTTTTCAATGAGACAGGTAGAGAAGGCCATCTAGCCCTCCTCAGAACTACAGCAACCCGGGGACATGAATACTGCATCAAGGTCTTCATCATGACCGTGAGGTCTATGACAGGCTATCCACATATTCATCATTTGTCCATAGCCTGAATTACTAGAAGGGGAGGACCAGGCTCTTCACAACATTTCAGAAGGAGTCAAACTGAATGGATTCAAGTTATTTTGCTGCCTATGGAAGTGTTCTGGCCACTACACTCACCTCTTACTCCAGATGGAACTCTTCCTCGGCTGCCCAAATGGCCCATGCTAAATTTCTGATCAAGGTTTAGACAAACTGAAGTCCATGACCAGTGGATTGGTCTCAGACTGTGTAATTTTCTGCCCAGAGTATAGTTAGCAATAATTGCCCAGCATTCAGTGGAAACCACAATATCCTAAAGAAAAAGGATGTGCATTTCAGACTGGTTGTCCAAAGAACAGCTCTATGTTTATGGCAAACAGAAAGCAGTCAGGTTGCTGAACTTCCCACTGAAAAGACACTTTTCAGTATTCAGTGTGCACCAACTGCAGACTAGAATGTACTGGCAATTACAAAATTAATGGGCTCAAATATAATTCTGCTACCTTCATTAAGCACAATAAATCACCATATACAAAACTGAGAAGTTCGATAAAGCAGGAGGTAAGGTCTTTATGAGACAGCAAACACTAGAAAATACAGAAAATAGGAATGCACTGAGTAGCCTTCTGGGGTAAATAATATAATTGTCTAGGCTCTTGAAGTACATGTTGTACACATGAATAGCCATACAGGAAAAACAACACAAAGAATGTTTGTGAATCCTAAACCCAAGAAGAGATCCGAGTTAGTGAACCAGAACTAGAATAGAATAGACAGTGGGCAGCCTCAATAATTCAATAATGAGTTAGCTTTGAATAAGCTGGGTTTTGAGTCTTTTTATGACACCACAACATACCCTGCTGGCATATCTTAAATGACTAATTGTATGCAATCAATTGTGTCCACAAGAAGGAAAACCACACTGAAATCAGTCCCTAGGGCAAGCATTTTAAGAATATATGAGGCATGCCCTCAAGATTTTACGGCACTAGTTTCATTTTGACTACTAATGATTTGAACACAGCATTGCTCCCGGTCTGCCTTTGGTTCCAGGATATTCTGTGATAATGCCACTCGCATGATTCCTTGCCCAAAGAACTAAGTTTATTTGGTGCCTAACTAGAAATGCAATGAAAATGTTGAAGTTCTAACTGCTATTCCAGCTATAACACTGTCTGCTATTGATTAAACAAACTCTTTTTAAATGTGATTTTCTTGAAACTGAATGTAGTCAATCACAGTGTGAGAATCCTTCCTCTGCATTAACCTGGTTGTACCTCTGTAGCAAGACTGCAAGAATCCTTTGCCCATCTTTCCTCTTCAATACACCATGTTATTTCATTTTCTCCAAACCTCTTGCGAGGGCAGTAATGAATTCTTGTTAGTGTTTACTAATGTAAATTCATTCTTTGTTATCCCTGGGAGAGGAGGATTAGCAAAATGACAGAACCTATTATTTCTGGTATTGCTATATAATATTTATTTTTATTCAGCCCTTAATTAATTTATTTAATTTTGAAAAAAATATATGTGCACACAAGCAAAGAGGGATTTTTTTTTAGCAGAATGCACAGAAATACAGTTATTACTCCCATTAACATTCAGAAGCATTGTACAGCTTTATCCTTACCTACTACATTAAAAAAATAATCTCAAACTGAAATAATTTCTAATTTGGAGGGAGAAAGGAATTACAAATTCAATTTCATTTTCCTGAAACAGCTCCCTTGCACTAAGAATGTGTGTATTTTAAGGAGTGGCTAAAAATTATAACCTGTGAAGTTGTTTTACTCTACTGGAAATGCTTTTGGTATCTCCTTTAACGCACCTTAATGGTTAAGATGAAGTTTCTAAAATACACAGAAAGCATTTTACTAAAGAAAGTTCTTAAAGGACCTATCTTTGAATAAATAGATCATCCAAACTCTCATCTCAGCCACAACTGAAATTAAAGGAGTGAGGTATTTAGAGTGGCTGTCCTCTACTTCACAGAGATAAGACGTGAAATTACAGTATACACATAAGATTCTGAAATTAATGGATACCATGAAAAAACATGGGCCCAGAGCTTAAAATGATCTCCACATGTGAGTTAAACTGCACAAGCAGCCACTTTCATATCAATCACACTATACACATAAAGTTATTTCCATACATGAAGACCTAGGATAAATTGCAATTAGTATACACTAAGATCTCTTGCTTTTGAGTTAAATGGCCATCCTGATTAGCAGTGTCTCTAAATCAGAAAATCCTCTACTGGATCTCTGAGCCCATGTTCCAGAGGTCCCAGCTTCCCTTTCAGGCTGTAGAGATTCATGCTTTCCATTCCCATGGTTCCCACGTAAGCTCCTAGTCCCAGTGATATGGTGACTGACACAGAAAATTAATGCACTGAACTCGCCGAGTTACAAATAAATGCAATCCATTCACTAGAGATGAAGTTTAGAGTTAAAATGTATTACCTCATGGCTTGATAAAGTGCCTGACAGAGGGATAGAATACCCAAAGCTGCAGGCTGCCAAAGGTCTTTTTGAAATGCTTAGAAAAGTACTGAATCTCTTGCTATGGTATCAAGGGAAACTCAGTTAATTTTATAGGCTCATGTTTCAAATCTGTGTAATTCAGTCTCAGAATTAAGCTATTGTGCAAAAAAAGGGGACTTTCAAGCTTTCCACCTTACCAAATGACTTTCCTTGCTAAAACTAAAGACAATGAAGATTTTTCTTTGCTCGGGGGGTTTGCTCAAAATTCCATTAATACTGAAGATTAACCAAGATTTCCCAATCTTAAACAAGATTGTCTCCTTTTAGTCATATCGTTGGCAACCCTTTGGCCTGTTGCCAGAAACAGGACTGAAAGCTCCTCTTCCAGGCCATTGTCATTTGGAAAAACAAACGTTTTTACATGCTACTGAAATACAACTTATCTTTTAGAACTACAACTCTTGTCTGATTTTTAATACCCACCACATTGAGACAGCTATCCTTGTGCAAGACAACTAACAAACACCTAAGTTTAATCTGCTGCCCTAAGGAGCTTACAGTATTCATGATTTATCTGAAATCACTGCAGAGCCTTGCAAAAGCAAAGAATGCTTAGATATTCTTTGCGGTAGTCCCTACCTATGACCAAAAACGCTGATAGAAATGAAATGCAAATAAACTTTAAAATATTTTCATGAAAGTAATCTAGAGTAACATACTAAAAGTCATTAAAAAAAAACAGAGAGCATAGTTGTTGTTACAGCCCACTTGAAATAAAAATGAAACACAATACTGTGCTTTAAGTGACAGTTTAAACATTTTAAAATTATACATCTAGATGAGAACTCTGATTTTGATTTAAAGATAAAAACATGGAATTCAAATTTTGGAATGCGTAGAAGAAACCTAAATTTTATTGGAACAGTGAACTATTTGCTTTGAAGATATCAAAGAGCTCAGCAATCTAACTTCTGTTATGCAGTGCTACAAACCACACGTAAGGAATGGAATTAGTGAACTTCCAGATTACTCTGGTGTAACTCAGGTTAGAATATGACCAAGAAAAATTCACTCACAATTTATTTTTTTGCTACAAATTTTTAAGTACAGTGCAATGAGACAACAACGTGCCCTACCTGGATATCCACTGTCAATGTAAGTCTTAATGAGTTCCCCAAGTTTTGTCTTGCCTGCAACAATTTCCTTTAGCAGTTGCCCACAGCAAACTAACAGGAAGGCAGAACAAAAAAGACACAAGGTTAAATTTTAAAAAGGAAACAACAAAGAAGAGAAATAAAACCCAGAAGCTGCATAATGGAATAAGGTCACTGAATAAAATAAAAGTTGTAGGGTTTGGGGGCTGGTTGTTAGGATCTGTTTTTTTTCTGGCCAAGCAGAGCTAAAAGCAAAGAGACTGAGCAGGGGAGAATACTGAATAAAAAAGAATACATTTGGCAAAGAACATATTAAAAATAGACATAAAGATATTAATCAAATATGTTTCTGAAATAACAAGTCGAGGATTGCTCCTGGTTTTCACTTTTTATAAACTTGTAAATACTGAATAAAGTTACACCTGCTGAACAGCATGTCAGCGGCTCAGCTGGAGGTGCAGGAAAATCTGCAGTTCAAGGGAATGACTCCCTGGATCATTTAATGATCATGTAAGAATTATATTTAAAAAACTGTGCTAATGCAGTATTATAATTGACTTCAAACACACAGAACACCAGGAGATGCAGATTTAAAATTTTAGTCAGGACAGTGGTATGTGAAATACTGCCTTTCTGACCGGAGTTACTGAGTCTCACTGCCACAAAGCAGCTTAATGCAACGTTCCTGACTTATTTCACAGGGAGGGAATCAAGGCATGGAGAGGTTATACAACATCCCAAGTCTTAGTTTCAACTCAGTTTTGGTTAGTATTAGATAAAAATCACTCTGTACATTATTGCATGACCTTTCAATTAATAACTGGAAGTTAATTCTACTTTTTCTGAAATCAAGAGCACCAACATCTACAGCTGCACTGACTTTAATGGCAAGAGCAGCAAGCCCTTTCATCTGCTTTATCACCATTAATCAGCCTGTTTGGCAAACAAGAGGAAAAATACTCCACAGCAACATCTCTTGGATAAAGCTGATGGAATTTAATGTTTAAGCAACAAGGGATGAGCACAAATTTTAACAGTTACTAGTTGTCCTGAAGAAGAAAATTTGTGTCAATACATGGTGTGAATAAATGGTGTGAAAACATAACAGAAACTCAGCTCATAGACCCCAGTTTAAGAGAACTAGTATATATATATATATATAAACTTAAACTCAATCCAATTCATAAGACTATTTAAACTGTGCTTTAATCCCAGTATAATCTGAATACTATTCTGAAAAATGATGGTCTATTGATGGTCTATTAATTAAAGACTAAATTCTTCTAATATTTGGTTTACAGTATACTTAAAATTCAACATACAGGTAAAGCAGTGGTAATGGTATTTAGTGAGCAGCTGCAGCAGTCTCATCCAGTAGTTACTTTAGAAAGAAATGCAAATTTTGACCTAGATGAAAACACTATCAAACTTGCAGTTTTAAAAATAAAGTCCAAAAACATTAAATACATTCAGATACATGAGGACAAATTTTTTTAAACACATTCAAACATGGTTTATTTTTATTAAGCCAATGACACCATTATTAAAAACACAGCTTTGAATAAAACTACATTTACTTTTAATATGACATTATAATCCACAGCAATATTAAAATAACTGATAGCACAATCTATCAGTTTTATCTGTACTTTTCAGTATTGTAATATAGATTTTTAATTAATTTAAATTTACCTTTTTCAAGTTCACCAGATATCATTTTAGTCACAGTTATGTATGGTTTTTAAAACACTAAATAATAGTAAAGACTGCAAATAGAAAAATGCTAAACCTCGGACCCTGAACTGACAGGTAGACAGTTCATAGCTGTTTCTGTGCCTGTAATGGAAATGCCCAGACCTACGATCTAGGCATTAGCATGTTAACCATGAACAAGCATCATCTAGAATTTTCTGGACCTCCTTTACCAAAGTAAGAGAATGCACTTTTAAATAATCACTTCTTTTCTACTACATTACTTCAGATGCACAGAACCTGAGTCTTCATTAAAGTTCAGAGTAAACTCTCTTTCAAAAGAGCCCCAGTTTTGGTCAGATAGCTGAAACTGCAAGGACATTACTCATGATCCACAGAAGAATTCAAGAGCACTACAGGAACTAACACATGGAAAAATACTGTCTAAAATCATGTCTAAATAACGTTAGAGTTGGTTTGGCACAATATATGCTCTACTGGTTTATACTACACTTCCTTCAAGAACTTGACATCCTTAGCAACGGACAAACAGAAATTTTATGAGCAAGTAGGAAAGACAGACAGCAAAAGATAAATGATCAGAAATGGAGAAAAGGGGAATTGAGCAAAGTACATATTTACTGAGAACTTACTGTTGACAACACTGTATTTCTGAGCTAATAGCGCTGCCTGAAGACTCTTCCCACTGCCTGGGGGTCCAAAGAAGACAATCCGTGGTGTAAAGGGGGCAGCTGATCTGTGCCGTGTTTGGACATAGGTAAGGACTAGAACATGAAGCAAGAAACAGAGTTTACATCCTATTTCTTTTTTAAAAAAATAATATAAATATTAGCTTCTCTCAAAATAAAATTAAATTATGTTGATGATCATTTATTTTATCACTGCAACTTCCAGATACTCCAACCAAAACCAGGACACTGATATCTGTCATGTCAGCAACTTACACCAGGAGGCACTTTAGAAATTTTACCATCATCTCATTCCCTATACTTCCTTTCATCAGTAAAGGTCAAACCATTTTAAAGAGTAGATTCAAAAAAAAAAAAAAAGCTGCTCTTTTACCATGCTGTTTTTAGCAGAAGTTTTTTTTTGCTTGATAGGTACAATTTTATCATGCAAATTATAGAGGGATATAATAATTACATTTAATACTTTCTGCAGTTTCCGAACAAATATTTAAGTGTAAAAACTCAGGATGTTAAATTAATATGACATTTAACCAGCTTGTTGTGTGTGGTTAACAGACTCCTAATAACAGTATTATAAACTTGTATCATAGGATGTCATGACACAACACGGCACTGACAACGCACAACCCAGTATGATTTTATTCTTGTGTCCATCATTTTTGCCTTAAGCTTCTCTGTCCCATTCTACTGTTTGCTGGACATTACTCTTCCACATTTCGTATTGTGTAGGAAATACTACATTCAGGTCAATCTACGGATAAGAGCTTTGGAAAGACCACAGGACATACGAAGCGTCATCATGTAATGTATTACAGAGATCTGAACTCTCTTACAATTTCAAAAGAGAACCTGATAGATACCCAAGAAGCTAAAAGAAAACATGGCTTGGCAGTGAAGACAAATTAGGACCGTATTTGGACATAGCCAAAGACTCTTACTCCCTGTGCCCCTTTTATGACTAACAAACAGGACAAGCTTAGACATTAATGTTTGTAAGAATCATAAGCCCGTATTAAAAACCCCAAAACAAACAGAACAAACAAAACCACAAAAGGATAAAAGGATTGATGGAGAGCACCATAAGTATTTTAACTACCATTGTTAACACATTGCTGAATACTAACAAATTTTCTGCGGACCCTCTGTTAGACACTTTGGTATCATTCTAAGGTACATCTGTAAGCCAGAAGCATCTCCAGCAAACTCCAGACCTGGTATTTCTAGGCAGTAAACCTACAGAACTGAGAAACTAACTCAGACTGCAACCACACAGGATCATGTACATCTCCTCTCCAGTGCCACAAGCTGTACTGGGACACTACACCATATAAACTGAATTTGATGTCACACATCCCAGCACATGTGAGCAGTAATTGCATTACAGTTTAAAGATTTACAGACTTTTATAATTGTATGAAACAATCCATAATAATACTAATATTCATGAGAGATCTCCTCTTTCTTTTTTACACTGTACCTATAAGCAATAAAGAAGCTGAACAAAAACCCTGGAAAATCCTAACAGCAAATGTGTGTTTTGCTGCAGAACTTTCTAAACCCTGAGTATCAGCTACCCAAGGAGTGCTCCAGTTATTCTGAACATTTGCCATAACCCAGTGTATTGAAAAGCACAAACATTACAGGCAAAGCACCCTGCTTACAAATGATGCTTAATTTGCAGTAAATAACCAAGTTAATTAGGAGTAATGATCCCCCAGACAGTCTCCACAGCTAATTATTCTTTAAAAAAAGCCTCTGGCTGCTTGAGGCGCTGCAGAAAAAAGATCTAGAGAGGATTTTTTCATTCCAGTTTTCAATTTATCTCACTACATTATTAATTAATAATAATTAATATTCAGGCACTCACATTTTTATTTACAATTCAAGGCATGAATTCTTTATGAATGATGATATGAACTTTTAAATTTAATTAAGTAATTTAGAGGTAATTAATCTGTAAATTCAGAATATAAACTTCCTCCTTGTTTATCTTAAAAGTGCAGCACTTGTTATTAAAAAAAAAAGACCTTTTTGAGATGCAGAATTACTGGGATATAACAGATCATCTACAGACTGACAGCTACAAAGTACATTATCAATTGGTCTTTTCTGGCAGTTTCCTTATTCTCTTCTTGAAGAATCAACATTAAAAGTCAGATTGCATTACAGTCAAGCAAAGGCAAACAAGAACTGTTGAACAGAAAAGCTACCAGCAAGAACAGCTTTTAAATAATGAAATGCTACTGGCTTTGAACTACTCCTACTTCTTGTTACCAGACTTGTGGAAGGTACCAGTCCTTTGGGAGATTAACGACTGAGCCACAATGCAGCCTTTTAGAAGAGACTCTTGCAGAAATAAGCATGACATTTGCTCTGACTCAGCTGCTCCTTGGCAGGACTGTGGTGCTAAGACTTTCCAGTTACCTGCATTTACTCTAGTCCTGTAAAATAATTACCAGGAAGAGCCCAAATGTTGTACTAGAAGGAACATAACTCAGCTGGGAGCCATCTGTGTTGACTAATCCTCATCCTATAGACTGTCTCTAACAGCTAGGAACTACCTTTCAAATTTATATATAAAATAGTTTATCAACTATCAGATTTGCCATAAAGATGCAAATTTACCCTGTGAGAGGACATCCATAGAAGGCTGGTCTGCATTGATTGATTTCAGAATTTTTTGGTAGATCTGGAAAATCCCAGGGAAGTTTCTGTGATATTCCAGCAGTTTCTTTGATATCTCCTGTTCAGATGGATCTTCTGGTTTCACCAAACGTTCCTGTATCAGCATATCACGTGGCCAGTCAAAGGTCGTATGGTACACCTCTGGAAGTTAGACACTGATTAGGAACTAAGAGAGTTATTTAATAGGTCTTGCTCAGCTCCAAAAGGTTTCCTAACAAACAAAATGGTGGTCTTTAAGCTTTAGACTTTGAGGCAAGCAATAACCTATGCACTTTCCTTCCTACTTGTACTGAAAGCTATTACTCTGCACATGCACAGATAGGAAGTAGCCAGGTTGGGGATACCTTTCCCAATTCTTAGACTGAACTTTAAGCAAGTCCTTTGATAAGCAAATCTTGCTTACAACAAATAAAAGCCATTTCTTTAGTTAAGAACATCCCTCCTAATTCTACTCTTACAGCATTCAGTATGATTTTTTTATTGATCACTGTCAGGATTTTATGTAATGGATGACTGGTACACAACAAACAATACAGAAATAAGTCTATTTGACAGTCATTTAAAGGAAGATACCCAAAGGCATACCTGCACCGCAGGAAAAAAAATAATCCCAGACTCTAGCAAAGATGCACAGCAAAATGTAAGCTCATATAGGCAGATATAACCTTCAGATATTCTCTACTATAGCCACAGTCTACTGTTTGCAGTCTCAATACTGAGCTTTGCATTTTCCATGTCTTATTGGCACAGAAAATAACACAACATCAACAAATACTTTTTCCAAACAGATGAATTTATAAATTCCTATTAGTCCTTAAAGGGATACCATTTAAGTTTGAATCCTATTGGTTTTAGAATGGTTCTGAGATCAAGCAACGCTGCAGTTTCTAGGGGAGATCAGGAGCAAACACATAAGGCACCTTCTGTGTTGGGATCAATCCTTTTCCCACTGTTCCTCTCAATCAGCACAGCGTCTGGAGCATAAAGCACAACTAGGCACAAAGAAAAACAAAACAAAACAAAATGAAGGAAAAAAGTGTAGCTCTTGTTAGTTAATTGCTTTATTTCCTGTAACTGTTTACATGTGTCCTAATACTAAAAAATGGATGAATGCATTTCAAACACATTTGCCTCAATCTCCTTTTCCAGTACTCTACCTGCAAATACTCACTTTCAATCAGAATTTTGCTCCGCCTCCTAAACAGTATAGTACGACAAAACACACATTAACGTATGCATCCAGTCCAATTAACCATGAGTACATAGGCTGTCCTCATCATCCACTCCAGTTAACAAGGTTTTCTCTCACTTATACTGTATCTGGAGCCCAGGATGGAAGTACTTACAGGTCACTCAAGACTGAATCTCTTCTATGTCACAAACAATTACTTTTTACCCAGGTACTTTGGTAGCGAGACCAGTGAAACTTATTTTTTGATAACCTCACAGAAAAATGTTTAAACTTGATTGGAAAGCATCAAAAGATGAAGAATCTGTCAGGTCCCTAGATCGCTTTTGGCTCATCATCCTCACAGTTAAACATTGTAATTTAATTACTATTTTCAGTGCATCCGATTACAGATTTCAAAAAAGTTCTTCTTATTACTTTCTCCTCTGTATCAAATAGCTCTTCCAGACACTTTTTCTCCCTATTAAGGTACTCACATACCATAAATTTCTTCTCGCCCGTCTTTTTGATTAGCTAGACAGACTGAGCTTTAAGATTCTCATTCAGGTCTTGGTGGCACAGATATAATTGTGAGCAAAACTCCACTTCAGATGTTAATAGGTATATTAAAAATACATGCAAGTACTAGACATTAAACATTTTTGCCTAATTCCATTGCAGTGATTCCTGAATTCTTCATTAACAGTCAAATCTCATGCAAATCAAATCCAAAGTGACAATTCATCAAGTTCACTAATGTTCTTTTCACTATCCACTGGCAATCTCTGCATTTAGCATTTACACTGTACTCCACACAATCATAGCAATTCTTTACATTCTAAGAAGGTCCTCTGATCATACTAACTTGGGACAACTGGATTCTTCTAGATGGCAAAGGCAGCTGTCAAGGTCTTGGATATCAGCACTTTGCCAGTAAACAGATTCCTCTCAAATGAAGTAAGAATCCACCCATACTCTGAAAAGTCAAGCTTAAAACTGTGACATTTCCACTTCAGTTGGTGGAGTAAAGTTTGCATTCTTTAATTCAATAGAAGGATGAGTTTGTATTTAGGACACAAGGAATTGTTTTGGTCTGAGGATAAAGGTTGATTTCTAGAGATGGAAGGCAGAGACAACTGAGACCCACCCCTAGAACAGAAGCATAGCTGCAATCCCAGCTCAGACACACTTGCTGGGATTGTCCTGAATATACAGAACTCTAATGTGCAAGAAGAAAGGGCTCATGTGTGAAAGACGGGGTTTAAAGTCTCGCAGGCTACCTCAAGTTCTTGAATAAATCTAAGCCATATTGAAGTATTTTCTGTGTGGTGACTGTGGTGTCTTCAGTATCAGTATCGAATTTATTGAGGATTTCTGGGGAGAAATACTTCTAGTCTTTCCTACTGGATGCAATCACACATAAACCTTGTACTGCTTACCGACATGCCTAGGAATGACGCCAGATGACTGCAGCATCCATGCCTGTTCCCGATTTTCAGGGAAGCCTTCCAAAATCCATCCCTATTGAACAAAAACATGAAACGGTTACTGATCCTGGGAAAGAAAAACCAAAAAATTAGCACTAAATATCAGTGCTGCCTGCACAAAAACTACCTCATTCTGATCCCCCAACAGTACAATGTTTGTTACGGGTGTTTGTGAGAGAAGAAAACAAATGTGGAACATTGCTGTCTTTGTGAAATGGCACACACTAACACACACACAGTGCCACAGAGCAATGGGAACTTATGTATTGAGCAATGACTGGTTTTTTTTTCATGTTTCAATCTTAAACCCAAAATTTCTACCTTGAATAAAAACAACCCAAAACAATTTCTACAGTTTTGAAATATTCAAAAGTATACCAGCCCACACTGTGTATAAAAAAAGAGGCTAAACAAATCTAAAGGCAGATTTAATGTCAAGAACACTGAGGAAAATATGCATGCTTTCATTATTTTCTTAAATTATACAGGAAAACTCACAGTAATGGAACCAGCGTTCCCAAAGCTAATGAAGCAACAGAGCAAAAGTAAGAGAAAAGAAAAAAGAGCCTTTTGCTCCCTAAAGTCCTTGTTATAGCCAGCTAAGTGTTGGATTGAGCATCTTTAAAAAAACATTTACAGATCTGTGAAATACCATAGGAGAGCTGCAGCCTCGGTTTGTGTGATGCAGTTTCTGAAATCTAATCCACTTCCCAGTCTCAAGTCTAAATCTCCTGAACTTTCTCTGATTTATCTGTTAGTTGCTCAACCACACGTGTCCTTAGCACTATTTCCTATACTTCAGAATAACTTCGTGAAACCACCGTAACTCTGGAAGCCATATTTGCACTGAATTAAAGAAGATATTTTAATATTGCATTAGCTGACAATCGTTCTCATCACCAACATAAATTTGAAGATCCGTCAGTTTGGGGTCCAAAGGTTTTAGAAGTATTTCATGGAAACGTATCTCCATGACTTCTGTAGGAGGAAATGGGACATTCCAATTATACAAGAAAATAGACTATTTAAAATTCCTTAATTAGCCTGGTTTCAGGAACATGTCATCCTGCTGATAGCTGAAGGAAATAAGAGACTCGAGGAACTGAAAAAGCCTTATTTGCCACTCCCAGTGTTTGCTCTGTCGAATTAGAATGAACCATTGTCTAAGGTCACGCAGGTGCTGAGAAATCAATTTATCCCTTGGGACTTGCAGGAGGCAAAGCTGCACAGTATTTTTAGTGATATGCTAGGAACTTCAACACTAGCTCTGAATATATTGCGCCTCTAGAATGCACATATAGGCCCAGATCCTCTTCTAGGAAGGGATGGCATCACAGGTCTGAAGCCAAACAATCTCCATCAATTTATACAGGCTACATATCTGGTTCATTTATTCCACTCCAAGTGCAACACTTGTGGAAACTAAAACGAGACAAATGGGAAAGAACCCCAACACAAACCCATGGCTTCTGGTGTCACTACAGCTTATTGCTCAAAAACACACCCTGAGCAACAGGCAGCAAAACACAATATTGTATTTTTAACAGACTTCAAGAAGTTTATATACAAATTTCAAAGGTACTTAAAATGGGCAATAAGCAATTTTATAGCCAAAAGTTTTTGCAATGTAAGAAAATATAGCTCAATAAATAGCTTCTTGCAACAAAGGCATTAAACAAATGCAAAATAAACACACACTACAAAAATAGTTAACATTTTGGATCTGATTTCCAAAGGTCTCCAAGTTGCGGGGTATCAGTCAGTCCCTAATTAGAATACATTATCCATCTACTTGACACTTCAGTGAAATGTCTATTCCACCACAGAGCTGCAGCTTTGTTCAGAACAGGTTTATTGATATTCTGCTGCATTCCCTCTCCATACCCCCAGTGGCTTGGTTCTGTTTTATCACACATCAAAAAGGCCGTATGCTCAGGGCACCCCATGCACGGCTCAGAGCTGGAGGTCTGAACAGCTGCAAGTGGTATGGGATCACAGGAGGGACAAGCTCCAAGCAGATGTCACAGATAAAAAAAAATAGGGAAAAAAAGAAAGAGGAGTAAAAAGCGATTGTGGCTTGGGAACGAAGCAAGAGGAAGCAAGACACAGCAGAGCAAGACCTGACTTAAAAATACGCCTATCATGCTTTATGCAAACACTAGTCTTTTTTGCCCTCCTGACTATCATGAAAGTGTAATTAGTAACTTCACATGGTGAATTTGTTATTTTAAGAAGCCATGTATTTTTTGTTCTTGATAGCAGTAACCTTACACCCATGCATGGATCACACCTTATCACATCAAGGATGGAACAAAGGCTAAAAGTGAGTAATTCCATGGTGCCTTTACTCTGTGGTCACTGTTCCTCTAGTTCAGCTGGAAACCTAGATGCTTCCCCAGAAGAAGGCTGCCGTAAATACAGCATTCTGCTGTTGCCTTAATGCCAGGTGAAGTGCTCTTTGGAGACACATGCCATGCTGAAAATCAGCAACAAGGAAGTACTTTCAAAGCCATCACTTTTCTCTCTGGACTTAAGGAACCTGGAAACGCTCAAGGTCATTCCCAAATGTAAATCTCAGTCCTTTGCTGGCACTACTCTCAGCTGTAACACCAACCCTACATACTTTCACACTTTCCACCCCAATAATAATGACTTGGGTATTTAACATCTCTCTGGTTATTTAACCTGTACATCCTCAATAATTTTTTTTTAATTGCAAAATCCAGAACTGACACTGCTTTAGAACAATGAAAAGGAATAGCACAGAGAAATGACGCTGAATTATGTGGCGCATCTGAAAGAAATCTCAGCCGCAAGCACAGACATCAAAGGTCATGAACACGACGCCTTTAGGACAACAACGCAGCTTCTCCACATCATCACTCAGTATTTTTGAAAAGGTATCATGTGCTTTTCAGTCCCACCTGTGAAAGGGGAGAGAAAATAATGCCAAAAAATAGCATCAGTAATATCTTTGCCAGTATGGACCTAAAATTCCTGAGATTTTCAGAAAACAGCAGACTGAGCAGTAGGAATACTCAACCCTGCACTCCATCAACATGAGTAATATGGGAAACTTCTATAATTTGCCTTTAGAAAGAAACCTTTTATTCCCCACATTATTTCTGTAGGTTGAATAAGCTGCAAAGCTTTTTTAAAAAGCCACATTCTTCTTGGGGAAAAAAACCCATGGTGAATAGGCACATCCTCTCCCCAGATAAATCACTATTCTCACATGGATTTTCAGAGACAACATGATGACCTCCATCTGCTAAGGTAAACCCAAAAAGAACCAATAACCACTGATATGTTTGCCTGCCCTTTCAAGGATAGCCACTACCATTTGGAATTGTTTCATAGCAATCAAAAGGAATTCTGCCACTCATGAATCACTGGCCCAAGTTTAGCTTCTAAACAGTCCTAAGCCGTCAGCAAGGTTTTTCAGCTGGCTCTCTCACAAATTCATTATATAGCAGTCTCTTCACCAGCCTTCTCCAGTTCTATATATTCCCTCCACAGCACCAGCAGTCAGAGGTGCCATAGAAAACGTGTACTAACCCTGTAAGATGAAAAGTCTTTGTATCAGCTGCACAAGCCCCAGGTTCTAACATAACGCCTGCAATAAGTTTTCTGCCTATGCTGGAAGACCTACCCATCTGATCCCTTGCAGTCCTAACTACATTTGTGTTAGAAGAACACATAACACAGAGCCTCAGCAGAGCTGTTGATCAATAAAAATGTTCTCCTTAGAGAATGCCTGTGACATCTATAAACCTGTGAGTGTCAAAACAATGGCACAAAAATTCTGTGTTCCTACTGTCGGTGGGATGAAAGCTGTACAATTAATGCCAAGCCAATGACACCACAAGGAGAAATAAAACAAAGAGCTGTGGTACTATGGTCCAACACACTGCTTCTCATCTATTAACATTTTCAGTAAAAAAATGCTGACTCATGTTTTGAAAGGAATAGCATAAATCTGTTCAACCACTTAAAAAATCCACAGTATTAATTCTATTTCCAATCACACAAAAGAAATACTGCAATTAAAATGCATAGATCCCTTTCGAAATGGAAGATGTGTAATGTGGCCATAAATTGCTATCTAGTAATTAAAAGATTTTTAATAACCATCACAACTTTGCAAAGTCAATTACGTGCTTTTTTCCTAAAACCAAATGAATCTTTACCTAGATCACTAACACCCTCTCCATTTTTGATGAATTTCAGGGAAGCATTATAAAGGTGTTTTTTTCCCCTCTATCTCTGCAAGACATCCAGCACTGATTCAGTGTTGCAGATGCTAACAACAGGAACATAAAATGCAGGCAGGACACCATACAGCTGTTGGCATTTTAACCATCCTGTCACCTTACTCAGAGTTTACATGACCTAATACTTAAAATAACAGTCACTGAGAGATCCTTCCCTCGCTATTAAAAGGAGAACTAGAATCATGCCAACAATTATAGAAAACCTGGGGCAAAAATAGCATAGGGTGCATGCAGCCTTTGGAGAGTAATGGATTTTCCTCATACAGTGGTTGTTGGTAAAACTCACCTTTTCACAACAAACACTGGAAAAATCAGCTGTTGAAAACAAACATACCTTTTTTTCATCAGGCAAATACTAGTAGCATAACCAGAAAAGCTGTTAGTGTTAAGCTGAAAAGGACTATGTTTGGGGTCTGAAACCAGCCTAAAGACCAGCAGTCAGCAGCCAGAAGAGCAGCTTCTTTCTTGAGTTTATCATCCTTCTAATTCACTTTCACTTCTACAGGTTTAAAGATATTTTAAACATACTCACTAGAGAAGTTTCACTTGAGACAGATGTTCCGCATCTTGCCACAAAGACAAGGTAGTAAATCATACAGTCGCCTGACTTGCCGTATATCCATGATATATCCTTGCACTGCTTACATAAAAAATGTTGACATTCAGAGCCTTTTTTTGCTGCTCATTTGCTCATATATCCAGAACTGACAATTTTGGTTTCTCAAGTTTTCCTCAGCTACACTCTTTAATTCAAAATGCCACAAAAATTAACAAGATGATACCCCACATGTGTGCTTTGAAACAGGTTCTCCTGCCAATTGGAAAGCCTAAGAAATCTATTTTGAAAAGAAAGGGCAGGGTGTGTGTCATACCCTTACACATAATAAACTAGAAAATTCTTCAACAGTGTTCCCAGGCCTCAATCACAGCAGTGTACAAAGGGAATGCAGAGAGAAACAACAGCTAGGTTTAGGAAGAAAGTAAGAGCTTGAACTAACAATAGTGTGCATTTTGCCTAAAAACATGTCTTACCTGCATGGCAAAATAGATTTTATTAATTGACAGAAAGTGAAAAGAAGGCGGGGGGGGGGGGGGGAGGAATCAGAAAAATCTGCACTTTTCAGTTTAGAGCTGCCAGTACATTTTAAAATTCTAACATCTTGGCAATTCCCCACACAAGGAAATACTAGTGCAGTTTAAAAGTCCTGTAGTGTCATTTGTAAATAGGTACAGGAGCCAACAATGCATCCGAATGTTCTACTATAGTAAGCCTCTTGTTAAAGCTGGATTTAGCCACAAATGCAATGAAATGTTCAAAAACCACCCACATAAAAATTATGATAACAGGATAGGTTGAAGTTTAGCTATTGCCAGTTCCAAGCTACTGCTTCAAGACCAGCTTACTGCCTATTTTGCTACAGCTATGTACTCACAACAGAAACGTGACACAGACAGATGTCCTCTAGCAAACCCCTCAGGTAGGAACATTTTAAGAGATTGTGTCTCAAGCTATTCATTACTATCCTGATCAAGTTATCCTTTCCACAGCTCATACATGTAATTGATGATCTGATCTAGATTACACAAGGCAGGTCCACTGAAAGCCACTTCTTTAGCAATCATTCGCATTATCCGAGTTCTAAAAGCTGAAACCTTCAATCAGGGACAGAATATTTTTTCAGTTGCTCTTGCTAGCTTTGTTGATGTTTCTCTGCACCTATAGACACTTCTGCATTAAGGAATTACCATCTTAAAAACTACAAGTCAGTAGCCCAGCCCCCATGATGAGTTTGTTTTACATGGAAGGATCTGGTCTGCAGACTGCATCAAAAGTCAGAGAGACAAACAAAGAAGTACAAGAGATAAGGTTTTCAGTGCCTAATGCCAAGAAGCTTTAGGAAACAATTTTTATACCTGACTGAAATGTTGATTACCAGCCCTGGTAATTCAATCAACAAGGTAGAGGATGATGATGTTGAGAAGCAACAGATTTGAATAAAGCTATGAGCCTTGCAATATCTCTGTGAGGCCAGGAAGTTCTAGTTAGCCCCTGACCCAAAGCATGAGAGTGGCAGTGATTGCTCTGAAAACACATACGATTTATCTGAAAAAAGCTGTTTAGCCCTTCACCAACATATCACCTACTTTGGACCAGACTTTTCTCTCTCAAGATATGCATCAAATAATGATTTGTGGCACTGTTTAGAAACAGGGTTTTATCCATTAGATTAGTATGTCTCTTACAAATAATCCCTTATAATGGGTTGATTATGGACTCAATAAACCATCACAATATCTGAGAATTTAAAGGAATCACATAAAAAAGATTTTGCTTTCATTGATTCCAGACAATATATAATCTACTTAAGCTCTCTTTCAGTGCTATGTTAAAAGTCTCTACTTACATTAAGGCTAAGTACACAGAGAAAAAGAGAAAAGCCACACATCTGTGAATACAGCTAAACCTATTCAGTTGCCTATTCATGTAAACTGACAGTGAACATAATTATTATTACCCAGAATATATTTAAAGGCAGTTTTTCCCAACACAGGAATTAAAAAAAAAAAATAAACCGACAACAAGAAATAAAGAAAATTGAAATCAGTAATATTAAAATCTTCCCTCTCCCCTTTCCTCAATAAGAGTTAAAAATCTTAACATATTGATTTTTATATATTTCCTGTTTATCTGTTTTGTCCACTCTATCTCTGCCAGTTGCCCCAGGCAATCAACAAAGCTCTGCTTGTTCAGCCTTTGATCATCTCTGTGCTAGAAGATTAGCATATGCATACTCTCATCCTCCCCTTTATCCTGTTAATAAAGCTCCAAACTCCCTCTGCTGATGTTCAAGAAAGAAATCGGCTCCACAGCCCCCAATGATTTGCCCCCATTCCCTCCTCTGCTCAGGACTCAGAATGCTAACTACTATGCACGAGTTGTGTAAGTGCTTATCCACTGGCCCTCTGAGGAGCAATTCTTACTTGTTTGATGCAGTCCACGTTTGACAGACGTTCCTGGATCAGATTGGCCCAAAGTGCATTGGGAATTTTCTAAAGAAAGAACAAAAAAAGGCTGAATATTCACAATTGAGTTCAAAAGGAATTTTACCATGCAGGCACAGCCCGGTTAAAGGTGAAGTGAGATGTCTTCTTAAAAATAAATAAATAAATCTCTGCAAGTCCCAAGCCATTAACATAATATATGAGAGAGTTAATAAGGGCACAAAAATCAGTGCTAAAGGTAAGCTGAACACAAAGCCTACATCCATGTTATTTGCACAGTAACACGGAAGCAATGCTGAGTTTTGCACACTAACACACACATTGGACGACAAACCTGCAAAGGGATCCATAAGATCACCACAACCACAAGCAGTCTTTTCTACCACAAGTATCTGACCCAGTACTGCCCCAAGTGCCAGTGGACTCGGCATTAGTGATCTTAACAGTTATAATGTGAGACAAGCAGTAACTCAAACACAGAGCAAAGAACAGAGTCTGACTTTCAGGAGCTTTGTTTCATAATTTCAGGTAACTCTGTCTCTTTCATCATCCAGAAAGTTTATTTAAAATACATTTTTTGGTTCAAGTTAATTTTAATGTTAAAGTTAGCTTATTTTTAAACTCAGGACTGTGAAACGGAATTAAAGCTGCATGTTGCAATCTTTTCAGGAGCGCTGTTTCTTTCCATCACTATTACTTTGTCCATACATAGTGATGGTTTGCAAGACATTTGCTATCTGACAGAAGAACAAATTTCTTCCACAGATTTAGCATCTCCCCAGTACTCCTTGTTATTGTATTAGATTTCCTGAAGAGAAATGAACAATCCTTTCTTTCCTTCTTGTAAGAATTTTCTTGAATATCTTGTTAATTTAGGCCTCCATTCTATGCTGAACATGGTTAAACAAATTCTACATTAGCCACTTTAATCTGATAAAGTCTAAACTTTTGGCCATGCCAGCCGTTAAGCATGTGACTAAATGCCATGTGTCAGTCTCATTCATTTTGTCATTACTGGTAAAATGAACCCTCAGAGAATACCCTGCAGGTCAGACTCTCTACTCCCCAGCTCAAAAAAAAAAAAATATCTTTCACCTAAGGATGTGAGCTAAAAGACTAAAAAAAGTCTATTTCTGCAGGCATATGTTATACCGAACGACACAGATTGATATAATGAAAATGTGACTATGTGTAAAGATTTCATAACCATCTTCTTCATTAGATCATGAAACAACTTCACCAGAAGCGGAGGAAACACTACCGCACAAGTCACTTTTATAGCAGAACAGACCAAGCACTCCAGAATACACAAAAGCAACCAGTCTTCATCTGGCTGTGGAGCAAGGTGGCCCAGTCAGGCAGTGGGTTTTGTTCTGTTTCTCTGCGGTCCCCAGTTCTCAGTGCCTTTCCTAATATCAGCCATTCATAAGGCAGCATTCAAGCTGGTAAAAGAGAATAACGGAAAGAAATTGCCATGTCTCTTGAAAGTCAGCAGGTCCCACAGGGTTGTGTGTCAAAGCTTCCTGCAGCCTCGTGCTGCTGGAGCCTGGGTCTGAGGCTTTGAGTCTGTCACCTTCCAAAGGTGCATCATGCTGCTATCAGAAACAGCTAGTGTCTTGCTTACTTCTTTGATGTGTCACATCAAGATAGGCTAGTGACTGCTGGGGGTCCACTCTGCTAAGCCTTGCCAAACCCATTTAAACCAAAATTACACTAACTTCTTTCAGTGCAGTGGTATTCTCAGTCCTCTCCTTTGAGTAGGGTTTATTGCACAAAAACAAGGACACACATGGTGTATTTCACTGGTTTAGTTCCTTCTGCTCTCTGTGGCTCAATTCCAGTCTCATTTCCTGGTCAGTTTTCCTCCTACTGAGCAGTGGCCTATGAAATCATTTTCAATAGGTTGCTTGCAGAATGCCTAATTATTCAACTAGAAATCATTAAATCTGATACATAGCAGAGAGCATATTTACAGTTTCTTTCTCATAAATAATCACAATAAATATATCATAAGCCTGGTAGATGGGGCTGCACCTCCCAGACACCTACAATAATGGACAAGGAAACACATTTCAGTTACGGCAGAACCATAACCTACCTAAGGCACCCTGAGCCTGTCCAACATTCAGTTTAGCTACTGAATAAGACCTGCTGCTACAGTATTTTTCTTATGTTCAGACTTTTCTATATACACTGGTTTAATTACTACTTCTATACTGCTGTAAAGCTGTACTCATTCATGATTCATTTTAAATATTCCATGTTATTTCAGGGACATCATCCTTCAATTTACATGCCTATCTAATCTATGCACAGCTATATTTTAATGATGTTTTCAGAAAACTGCTACACTTTTTTTTTTTGCAGGGAGCACTTTCTCTAGATATTTTTATTGGAAGTTTTGGATAAATTTGTTCTGAAAACATCAACAGATAAGAACTTCTGACTTCTCCAAGTTTGCAGCTTCCAGATAAAAAGCACTCAAGTTTGAAGTAATTTGGTTCAATTTGGTTACATTGAGCTTGTTCAGATAATACACATGAAAGGCCAGTCCTTTTTATGTACACACAAGACTGGAACCATTCCTACTTGCTCTTTCATAGTGGACTGGAATAGGTTAGAATACTGACCATGATAAGGACACCTCAGGTTTTTCTTCCTTCTATTATGTTTCTTCTTCAAAAGCACAGCGATATGACACTACTCTAGAGCAGTTTTAAGCCATTAAGTCGTATGCAAACACCTTAACTGCAATTTAGTACAGTGTTAAGAGTACACCCAGCCCACCAGCCCACAATTACCACAGCTGGTTCAACTTCTTATTTTATCCAGTTAACAGGAAAAGTGAAATATGCAATAGCTCATCATTAGACTTCACTATAGGAAAAGCCTGAAGATGCTTCCTATTAACATTATAAAACCAGAGATGAGGGAATAATTTGCAATGATTTTTCCAAAACTGTAGCCTCTTTTTCTGTTCGTGGAATATTTATTGCTAGCTTGTGGTTCTGCAAATTTATTGAATATCCAAAATATCTGACTTGATTTTTACATGCAGAATGATAATTTTGCTTTGAACACTCACAATTTAAAGTTCAGTACCTAAGCTGTGCTCATAAGTGAGTGGCCAGGTGTGTGTCAGTGAATGATTGCATTTCCAACTTGAAAAATGGAGCTTCGAAGAATCATCATGTATTTTAAATACGCCTTGAATTCCATGAATTCTTGTGCCAGGAATATTCAAGTGCTTTCATGTTCACTGGGAGCAAACACAAAAGAGATGAAAGCTTGGGTAAAGGCAAGTAAAATATCTGAACAAACATTTGGGGACCTTTTTGCAGCATTTACTCAGATCTAGTAACATTGGCCCACTGACCTAAAAATGAACGACCTTTGGCACTGGGGTTAATTTAGCCACAGTAACTTTATCTGCATGAAATGTTCCTCTAACAGCATTAATTTGTGTTATATGATCTTTCAAAACAACAATGAATTCCTGCTTTGTTTCTTTCCATTTATTAAATTGCTTTGGCCACAACTATACCTTTTTAATGCCCTGGTTGTACCAACGATAGTAAACAGCTATTGTTCTGTTCCTGAACAGACATTCAAACCCTATTAGTGCTAATGGATGTTGTGTGTGCTACAGGAGTCAAGTTTATCACTTGCTTCAGCAGAACCAGGGGTCAGTTACAGCACCAGTAGATTTAGCCAGCAGACAGGAATCAGTAAGGGAAAACAGCTCTTAGCTATATTTTTAGAGCTATATTTTTTTAGAGCTATACTGTCATCTCATAGAGATGATTTAGCTACATTTTAAGTCATTGTAAACCTTGCATTGATTTAGAGGAAGCAAGAAGTTCCCCCCTAGTTTTAGAGTTACGTTTGAAGAATCAAACTCATAAAAAAACCCAAGAGAAATGATTGAGGAAAAACGTTTTTCTAGGCTCTAACATCTCAAAACCAAAGGCAAACTGCACAGTATTAAACCACTACTAGCTTCTGCTCTTTGGGCACTCCTTACTACCTGATTAGCCTTGACATTTTTGACTTTCATCTTCCACACTATCCATCTTTTCGAATCAAATAAGCCCAAAAGGACACCCTTGAAAGTGCATCTGTATAGTCTGAAATATGTTAATAATTACAGTAATTAAACCAAAGGGAATTTTTGTTTTAAATTCTTCCCCTCCAAGTCGAAATTTATAAACCCAGCAAAACAATCTTGAATAATTAGAAGGAAGATTTCAAAGTACGTATTCTTGATAAGAATTATTTTATATCATCCCAGCCAAAAGCAAACCTTTTTGCCAGTAAGTTCAGTGAGTTCAATGTGCTCTTTCCTCTCAGATCTTTATTACTCAAGATAACTCCAAGCTTCATTCACTAATTCAGTATAATAAACTCTACCCTATTTTCAGTCTTATTTTCTAAGGAAAAAAAAGTTAATCTGTGTGTCACAACATCTACCATCTCAGCAAATTATGAATCTGTTGGCCTATTCCAATCAAATTTAACAATAGAATTGTCATGGATATGAAATTACTTCAGCTTTTATGCAAATAAGTGATGAGGGAAAAAAAGATAAGCTAGTGGACTTGCTAGAGTCACAGAAAACTGGACTTCCTCCATTCTGTTACTCACAGAATACCTTGACATATGGAGAAAGGAATCAGCTAAAAAGATCAGGAATGAGAAGCAGAGATGCTTCTCTGGCTTCAGGATATTCTTTCAACATATTTTTCTTATCTACCTGTCACTATCCTTTAATAACAAGACAGTTACATTGCTGACCAAATAATCCTGGGAGTCATGACATCTGGAAAAAATGTTCTCTGGACCAGCTCTTTTGAACATTTGTTGGGAGGCTCACAATGAAGCAGGAATAGATTTAAAAACCTGTCTGGAGCAAAGCAGATACTCAGAATTGGGTAGAGTGCATCACTCCAAGAACTGAACTATCTTCTGAATATAAGGTTAGTGTTTTCAAGAACTCCATGACTTTACACTGTCTTCCTCTCCTGCCCCTATCCTATGTCTTGACATCTTTTATCTTTGTTCATACCTTCTTATCTAGCAGAGGTGACCCTTCTTCTCTGAAAGGCCCTGTATCCACATACCCATATATACAAAAAAATGTACAGACCACCATAGATATAATAATATTTACTCTGATCTGCTCAACTCATAGCAGTTGAAATCATGGGAATGCCATATAATTCTTCTTCTGTGACGCGAGAACTATCACTGTGCTATCCACTTACACACCTCTTTCCTTGCTTTATATGCCCTTGCTTCCACTGTCAGCGCTAATGCTTCTTTGAATAACAAAGTCTCCTGAGAGATACGTATAGCATCCAAACGTTTACAAAGCCACAGTGCCTGAGGGAAGAAGAAACAGAAAAAAAAAAACAAACAGGTTGAAATATTTGGAAAGAAAATGAAGCATATTTTTTTAGAAGGCTACAGAAAGACAGAGTGTGTTTTCCAGCCTTCCATTTAAGTAATACAGACTATATGTGTAAATTTAAGCAGTTTCTCATAAAGTTGTTCAAGAATGTACAGCTTTGAGTAAATTCTTTTTCATCTACTGTACTACAGCAGAGATTTTAAAGAAGAAAGCATCCTTCCTGGCATGCACACCCCACCATCATCTGTAGTTTCTGTGGTCAGCTTTCTCTGTGGTTCAAACACAACTTTGATGTTTTCAATTAAGTGGTACCAGTGGGCATGCCAGACAATAAGCCACGTAAATGGAGCAATCCACAACATGGGAATACCAAAAACGTGTAACTATGGTCCTCTCCCAGGCTAGTCAGTCCTGCTAAAAAGCTGGAAAAACAAGGCAGGCGAAGTTCTGCTGCAATGCAGCACTATCACTACTACCAGTTCTCACAGAGCTCACTTGAATATTTTCATATAACCTGTAGTGTAGTATAGAGGTGTACCCTTTAAGAATTCCACCCTCCAATTTGCTTTGTGCTCTCCATCATTTACATTAGTCTGAAAATTATTTTATCACATTAAAATTGTCACAAGTGCTTAGCTGAGGAGAAAGCAAAGAAGTGAACAGTATTATGTGACTGAAGGTAGGACACTTACAACTGTCGTTTTCCCAGAAGCAGGTGGACCAAGTACACAAATTCTTGGAGCTATCAAACAAGAACAGATGAACGTTAAGATGCAGAACAGCAAAAATACCAAATAATTTCCCACTGTTGCATTGCAGAACATAAATGTAGTCACAGCAAAACAATTACTTCAGTTGGAAACCTGCCTGAACAGAGACTTCACGACTGGGCTCCACTTGAGGAGAAAAAGTCAAAAAGTCAGTGCTTGCCAGGTCCTCCTTTAATCTTCATAGTCAGTGAGATTAATATTCTGATTAAACATTCAACTTTGTGGTATACGAATATAAATTTAAACACATGGATAGGTCAATGGGTAAAACAGAGCATGATACAAACATGTTCTTATCATCCAAGTTTAACTTTTGTTCTGAACACATTGATTCAGACCTAACACATTTTGTGATGAAAAAGTAGTTTACTTTGTACACGCAGGACAGGACTATCTCAAAGTGACTATTATGATCATAAAATGGTCGAGATTGAATGGGACTTCTTGAGATTGTTTCTTATTTCCCTTACAGAGTATGGTGGCAAAAATACTTTTTATTTCAGCAGAGCTTTTGGCTCTCACCTAAAAATGCAATATCACTTTTTAGTTTCATCTAAATAGGTTGTGTCAGGGTTCAGAGAAGATTTAGATATTGCAAAATTAACCATGTTTTCTCTACCCTTTTTGACAGCTCCTTCAATTTTTCTAGTCATCAGTAAAAGTAATATTCTTCACCTCCATATCTTGTGTTTCTCTACTGCATGTCCCTCTCCTTCCCCTGAGGAGGGCAAGGTGGGAAAAATGCATCCCAGTTCTGGGGAATCCTTCATCTAATGCTTACAGGCAATACAATAGGCATTACCATTGTAAGCCTCATTGAAAACGAATTACAGGCGAGACAAACATGGGCAAATGGAGTAGCCCTTAGGAAAGTATTTGGGACTTTTGCCATGAACACACCTTAAGCTGCAATCCCTTGAGCTGTCATTTTATATTAATATCTTTGATGTTTTTTCTCCTGTACCTTGGGAGGAATAAAAGCCAAACCAAACTATACACAGAAGGGACAGATGAGTATTTCTGGGAGTAACATAGGTCAAAACATGGGTGGGATCTACTCACCCAAAACCCTCTTCAGCTCTGGATAACCAAAGGAGATAACAGTGCCTGATGGCAGCAGACAGGGAAGGATGTGAAATAGATTTTTATGAGGGCTTCCATGCACTTAACAGTTATTGGGCAGGTGCAATTTTTAAACAGACATGAAACCCAAATTACAGATTCATCTTTACAAAGTTATCTGACTTGGAAGGTTTAAGAAAAACTCCCCCCTTATTGGTTCTTGCAAGTGCAACAGAACTAGTACACAATGTAGAAAAATACTTTAAAAGGATACATCAGCTGTTTTTATCACCTAATTTCTTTCAAATGTAATGTGATTAAATCCTAGGATTTTTTTTTCTAAATCTAACACCTTGAAACTCCAGCCTGGTACTTAGGAATTATTTATAAACAGCGTCATAAAAGAGTGCTCTGGTGCCAACACTAATCAACTTCTTCAAACCACTTCAAAGAAAATCAAAAAACCTTTCCATCCCCAGATCCTTTTGAGGTTTAACTAGGAGCATGATTTAAAATTCACAAGAAAGCCCTTAGGTATTGAAGCTTTAATACACAGCTTTCTTGGACAAACGTTTGATAAAAAACGAAACATACCATTATATACACCACATCACGCTTTAATATTGCCCAGGGCTACTGTAAATGCTCACTTTGTACTAAATCTGCTTTTCTCTCTGCTTAGTGGCTGGCAGCAGATGGGGCAGTGTAATTCACTGATTTACTCATTTGCACACTTGTAAGACTCCTCTAAAGCATTCTCCCTAAGCATATGACACAAGGGCACAACCAGGACACTGCTGGATGTAATGTTTAATCCCCTCCAATCAGTAAATGGTCAGTATTTAATACTGGAGGTCAGAACCACCAGCTAAATGAAGACAGGAAAATCTAGAAAATGCCTTTTGCTTCAGTAACAAATCAATACTTCATTCCATGGTTACTCTTCCAAGTAAAATAAGTTTTAACATTCACCAATTATTTTAGTAATAAAATTAATCCTGGAATAACACACACACGCAAAAGCTGGACTCACTGAGTTCCATTTAAGTCTGAGAGATTCCATGATTAATATTAATGTGGCAAAATTTGCTTAACTTGCATGAGGAATCCTTTGTCAAACAGGAAAAGCACATAGCACACGATGAACATTCTTGCAGAACTTTTTTACATCTCTTCAGAGGTTTGACTGCAAAGGAAGAACTCACAGAAATGCCACTTGGATCCCAAAAGCTTTTTTCATGAGTACAAACCAAGACACAGTGTAGAAAATGAGCATCTTGTATATGAAAGAATTCTCAGGCTTCATCTGGTTCTTTAAGGCTTTTAGAAGGAACACATGAAAGAACAATAGTACAGAGCCTCAAGCACAAACACTTAGCCACACATTTGACCTAGGAGATTTTCAAGACAGTTGTAAGCTATAATCATCATTAGACTTGTTTATATTTTTAAGAGTACTTTAGATGTTATTATTTAAAAAGGTTTCCTAACTTCACACCTGGGATAGACTGAATGTTGCTTTTCCACACATCTCTGTTTGAAATTTTCTCTAGGGCTAAAACTGTCTAGCAAGGCAAGATCATGAAAATTCATCACTTTCCTGATGGCTTTAATAAGGTTTTTTTTCTTCTAAATAGTCAGCACCTTCCGCCATGATCAAAAACTAAAAGCAACTCTGCTACAGATTCCTGTTACATTATTTTCCATATAATTTATTCTTAAAACAACATTTAGGCTTTAATTTTAATTGGAGTTCCTTTCCTTTCTTAATAGCTTTCCTTTTTTTCCAGACCAAAAACAGACAGCATTTTTCCTTTGACAAACAACTGCTGTAGTTCTATCTTTAGCCTTCAAGTACTGAAGTCATGAAATGGAAACCTGCCTAATTCTGTTCAAATAATACTGTGGGGGGCTTGAGGACAAATGTTAGCTCAATGTGCAGAAATTTTACCAGCATTCTATCAAGCCGCATGAAATTCTTCCACATTTTTTCCACAGGTCTATAAAGCAGATTGATTACTCATGCTGCCTGCATCAGAAAAGGCTGGACACAATTTGCAGAATTTGATTTTTTTTTTTTAGTATATATTTAGCAGCATTTCAATCAACATCCATCTGATCCCCACCACTAAGAGCTCCCGGCACCTCTAGTGAGAACGATTTCATTGATGCTGCAGCAGAACTTTCATAATGGTTTACTATAGTTTTAAAGAAACATCGAAGCAACATGACACCAGCTACCCCTGACAGCTCATGCAGAACAAAAATTATAGTTCAGTTGTGCATATCCAAATATAATCTGCCTAAGGGTGAACAGTTTGTAAATCAAATAATTTGATTGAGAGAACATGCTTTTATTGTGCAGAATACAGACTTCCTATTCAATTTACCAGGTTTTGTTATTCATAGAAGTAGGCATGCTCACTGTTCCTTCAGCTGAGATGCCACTGAGCAGTGGAACTCATTAACAGCAGCTAGTAACTAACTAATCAAAACCACAAAGAATCTGCCAGCCCAGGTAGAATAGGAACCCAAATTTACACCTGACAAAAGGAGTAATTAGTGAGCTTAAAGACAACAGGAAATATTAGATGGGGCACAGAACACATTAATAATTGATACACTAGAACTCTTTGTTATTCCCTTAGAGGGTTTCATTGTTGTAACTGTTAAAGTGCATTTTTTATTAGATTACCCACTAAAAAAAGATATTAAAAGCATCTTACCTATAACTATTCCAAAACGCTCACCTCCCCCCACCCCCCCAGACACAGCCTGAAAAGTTTCATCTATCATCTGCCAACTGAAGCACAGCTTTCAAACAGCTGTTTACAAACAAGGAGTTGAACTATTTATGGTGTCTCAATTTTCACTTACCATCATCATTGTTTTGCTTTAAATGGTTTATCATAAACTGAATGGGATCATCTGGCTGATGAATTATTAGTTCTTCAAGCATGTTCTGCAAATAAATAGGGCAAAGTCAGAGGAAAATTTACCATATCTAGGCAGTCACAATATATTGCATTTTTACAGCAATATTACAATAGGGAGCTTAAAGAGCTTATGAATGTTTCTTTATTTTCTTAAGGCCCCTTTCACAGACAAAATTGAAACTATGAAAACATGAAGCATAGTGAAATAATTGTCAATTGAAACAAAAATAACCCCATTGCTTTGGCTTATTTATGATACATATGGGCACCAGGCACTGCTTGAGCCTGGTGTTGATAACAGTTGAATCAGCATTGACATAAAAACCATACAAGGAGTTTCAAAACCAGACTCAAATCAGTATCTCTGCAGGGCAAGTTAAACCTCCTTCTCAAGCACATTCCTGCAAGCTTCTCACTAGCCTAGAGGACTGCAGAAAAGATACAACCTGCAGAAAACCCAAAACCAACAGCCAAAGCCTCAAAAGTAGCACATCTCTTTCTCGTAATCATACTAGTTTTCCTCCTACATGAAAAGTAAGGGGGGGGAAGTCTTAAAGCATGTCCTTGAATGTCTACTTTGGAGCTCATTTTCATATTAAATGCTTAAAGTTACACAGGGCCTTGCCTCAGCTCCCACTGACAGCAGTGGGGATGTTCCACTAATTTCAGCGAGGATTGTAGCTTCCCAGGCAGATAAAAAGTAACACTTAGAAACTCTGTAGATCTCCGTATAAGACGTTTCAGCACAGCCAAGAATTCAGTAATGAACACTAAACATCAAACAGCAGCTAATGTTCTGACTTACATTACCTACTGCAATGCTCATACTGGCATAGAACATCTTTTGCTAAAAATCAACCATAACATTTTAATATTCACCAGTAAATACCATAAAGTCTGTATATTCCATAAAATGCTTTATTTTAATGATTGTCTTTTATTGGAGTGACCCATTTTCCTTTTCGACTTCATCCACTTAATTAGCATAATTAAAACACTCAATTTCATTTATAAACTCTTGCACATGCAAAATCTGATGCTTCAAGGTCTGGGCAGCAGAGAGCACACAGTATAAAATTCGTATTTTTATTAGAAGTTCCTTTAAAATCATTACTTTCCAGCAACAATCATTTAAACTAAGAAATCTGAATCTGGCACCACCATTATCAGCAGCTATCAAAATAAAAGAACTAAGAAAATCTGACCTTACTACAATTCAAACCTATTCAGAAAATGACTTATCCTCACACTATTTTGTGCCCAATTCCTACCTGCACTTACATGCATGCTTCATTTTGTTCACTTCTATTAATCCCAGTTCAATTTTACATGAGTTCTGTGAATCTCGGGGGGGTTTCATGTTTTGGGACTCATGTTTTAGGTTCGATAATTTGGGTTTTGTCAATGTTTAATGTTTAAAGTCTAGGACAATGATTTCAAGCTGTGTTTGTTTGTACCATTACAAATTGCTACAATACAATTGAAGCCCAAAAAGAAAACAAGACTCTGAGTAAATCCCACAACTGTTTGATGGAATGCGAGGTCCTGCAGCCGCATTCAATACCTCATGGGATGCAAAACACAGAATTTCTATTAAAAAACACAAATATTATGCTAAACTGGTCAGAGTAATTAGATTTAGGTTACATGACTAAAAAAAAAAAGAAATAAAAATAAGTATTTGTATGTATTCCACGGAGATATTAATAAAAAAGCCTTAAAACAGAGCTGTGAGCAGCAGCACACAGGGGAGCCTCTCTTAACCAAGTTCTCGCCTCAGAGCCGCAGCACACAAACCTCCCCATGCACGACAAAAGGGCTTTCCCCAGACTTTCAAAACAAAACATACCTTTCTCTAAGGCAGGGAAAGCACTCTTGCTATTTAGTGAAATCACAACGACGTTAGAAGTGTACTTCTTTTTATTTTTGACACACACCTCCACAGAAAAGCCGCGACAGCAGCAGCAACGCGCCGGGAAACACATTGGGACGGGCGGTGGCGATGGGCAGGCGGCAGCGGGTTACCTCAGCTCCTCTGGGGTTACCTCAGCTCCTCTGGGGTTACCTCAGCGCCTCTGGGGCAAACCCCTTCACCCCGGCTTTTCCCGCGCTTTGTTGCCGCCTCCCCCTCGCGTTTCCTCCACAGGCTACCACTTTCTTCCTCAAAACATAAGGTGTACGACCCCCAGCAATTACTAGTAGTAAGTTAATTAATTAATTTAGTTAATAATTTAATTGAGCCCTCGGCCGGTGCACCTGCCCCTCACAGGGGGCCACCGCCTGAGAGTTCCCACCGGAGTCCGGTACCGACAGCTGGGGAAAATGGCCGCGGCGCTGCGCCCCAGATGAGCCTCCTCAGGGGCCCCAGCAGGCAGCACCGCCGGTAGAGACAGTGAGGAAGCCGGGCCCCCCGCCCCGGGCCAGGCCGGCGCTGGCTTGTGCCCCTCACCATCCCCCGGCTCCTCCAGGCCGCCCCTAAGGGGGCAGTGGGGAGGCCCCGCGGTGCCCCAGTGCAGACGCGGCCCGTTCACCTGCAGGAGCCGGAACAGCTCCCGCTCCTCCGCGTAGGCGCCCACCGGCGGCGGCCACGGCCCCGCCAGTTCGGCCATGGCCGCCCCTAGCAACCCGCCCTGCCGCGCTGCTGCGTTGCTAAGGACTGCGTTATCACTCCGCGACGCCTTAAAGGCGCGCCCTGCTTGGGGTAACAGCAACAGGGCACAACGTCATCCATCCCCGACGCGCCCCGCCCCGGGGGAGGTGATGCGCGACGTCGGCGCGGTTGCCAAGGAGACAGCGGCGCGTTGCCGGGGCGACGGCAGCGCAGCGGGAGATGCCGGAGAGCCCCGCGGAGCCCGGTTCGCCGCTACCGCTGCAGGCGGGCTCGCCGCTGACCGCGCCGGCCGGTAGGGACCCGCAGGGCCCGCTGAGCTGCAGCGGGGGAGAGGGAGGTCCGGGCAGCGCGGTCCTGCGGGCGGTGGGGCGGGAGGGGGCTGCAGGGAGGAAACAGACCCCTCGGGGGACTCGGGGACGGTGCGGGCCCCGGCCTCTCCAGCCTCCTTCGGCTTCATTTAACGCCAGAGCGTTTGAGGCGCTCGGGCTGTGGCTGTGTGGAGTGAGAGAAGCCGCCACCCTGCGCTCGACGTTCACATCACCACGTTAGCTCATGGTAGACCCGCTGGGGTTTATGGTGTCTGCCTGTCAGGGTCCCCTCTGGGTTCTCTGCCTCTGTTTGCAGCATCGTTATGAACTCACTGACTTCCCGTTTGGGGCTGTGGGACTGCAGAGCTGTGACACAACACATCTCCTCTTTCATACTTCTTTTAAAAAAAAGTTTTCCACTAGCCTACACAATTCAGGTGAAAGATTAAACTACACGTATAGAATTGCATCATGTCCAAAAAGCAGCTTCCTCTCTCTCCTTCCCTCCCCAAATCCAGGAAGGAGAAAACATGAATGAGGTAAAGGATGCCCTCAGAAGCATAGAGCAGAACTACAAGCTCTTCCTTCAGCAGCAGTTCACGTTTATCGGAGCACTGCAACACACCCGAGAGAACGCTCATGACATGATCAGACCTGTCGCAAGCATCAGCCAGGTACAAAGGATGCAGCACAAAGTTCTTTGCCGATGAGAACAAGGGACCAGTGCGGTGCTGTCACACACTTGGGTCTAGTTCAGGGATAAACAAATGTTTCTACTAAGGGAAGATGCACAAAACCTCTCAGCAACATTTGTGTACAACTCTGCAATCCAGTGGCAAAAGTAGGTGAGAGAAATACCTGTGTTAGATCTTCCCATTTACAGAGAAGGAATTTTACTGCTGAGCATCACATTATGATTTAGTTTAACGCTGCCATTTCACTGCTGAGGCATGGCCAGAAATCCAGGGTACAAGAAAACAAACCAACGCTCCTTCCCCAGCCACCCATGGAATGTGTAATCCTTAACTCGCAGTAACCAGCATGCCTGCCTCTTCCCCCTGGTATTGGTGCTGCTGTAGCTTTCTATACCCCTTATTAAAAATAATGGCTGTGTTACAGAGGTAGGATGATGGATTGAGGGCTGGAAGTCCCAAGTGGGCTACAGGTTTTCTGGACTGGTAAGTGAATTGTCTTGGAATTTTTATAACATGGGATGTTTTAAGTAGTGGAAAGAACTTAGACCACCTGCAGACAGAGGGGGAAGAAAAGCCTAAATCAAATTAGAATAGTGGGATTTGAGACAGCAGAACCCAGGCACAAAACCCAGATGGATGCCAAAGCCAGAGTGAAAGCCAAGCAGTTATTAGGACTGGGACACAGGAGTCAGCTGGTTGTCTTTTCTAAGGGCTGACTCTCCCTATTATAAGGGTTTTGCTCATAATACTGAAGAGGATCATGACAATCATTCCACTCCATTTTTTCCAAAAATAGGGATTGAGATTTTGTGTAACATTATGCTGTATTGAAAAGTGCCAACATTTCAGTGGTTTTAAGCCAGCTTGGACTCTGCTTCTCAGCAGAGGTGGAAGGGCTGGTTGTTGTAGGAAAGAAATCTTATAGGCAACAACTTCAGCAATTACACTGATCCGTGACATTGTGGTACGGTAACCTGTGAACTTAGTGGTGGGAAACTGTATTGCCCAGACAGCCCTGAGGGTACAAAGCAAGGTGAGGATGAGAAAGGGAAAAGAGCAAATTACCAGGGAGAACAGAGCATGGGCTGAGCACAGACTGGTGATGCACTGGGCAGGAACTGAACCACCACCAAAGTTCAGTGTGGCTAAACCAGACATTAATCTTATTTCCCTACCATTCTTCTGCATCTTTAATTTTGCCTGGGATAGCACAAGAGGATAAGCAACAAATGCAGAAATATGTGTGGTCTCAGCGTACAGCTGACTCGACTGCCAGCTTGCTTTGCTGGTAGGCATAGACACTACATAAAAAAAAATGATAGTGTACGTCAATACAGCTGCATTTCTAATCCCTGAAAGTTGTATGTGGGAGCATTTTTGGTGTTGAGTGATGATGTTTTGCTGACAGAGCATAGTAAAGTGGAAAGGTCAAAGAACACACCTCTGCTAGGCAATGGCAAGAGCTCCTTAAAGACTTCTACATGGAGTAGGATATAAAGTCAAATCCCAAGCGGTGCTGTGAGACAAGCTCCTCAGTCATTGCTTGAGACCACCCAGTGACCCCAGCAGAGCCTGGCTGGGGTCATGACATCAGCCTAGTGTCCAGGCCACCCATGATCGCCCCTTGCTGCAGATCAGCAGCAGATGGCTAATGCAAAGCTTGGTACTTCCTGTAGTCCTGGTTACTCAGGTGCATTACCTGTTGTTGATGTGGACAGAAAGAAGTCCAGCTTATCCCACCAGTGAACATCCAGGCTAAAATGCTATTCTCTTTAGGACAGAATACAGCAGCAATAAAATCTGCTCACAGCAAGCAATAAAAAATCCTGCCACTCACAAGGGCAGGATGCTCAGTGAGCAAGGAGGAACGTGGAGTGGAAATGGACACTTAGGGCCCATTTTTTATTTTTCTTACAAACCTCTTGAGAATTTTTCTGAGCACATAATGGCTTTTCTGTATGCAGGAACTGTGCCAGTGTTGGAGCAGCTACTTGGATCTTGTCTTGAAATGCTACAGAGAGCTCTGAAGGTGTCAGAGCCCAGCTATGACTGCCAACCAGCCACTCAGTGTTTTATATTCTGACCACTCATGTCTAAAGTATCTGTAATTTCTTTGGAGGAAATACTTAATCTCTTGGCATAATGTTTCATCATGCTATGCCATTTGCTCCGACTAACAAAAATGCTCAAGGCAAATAGGGAATATCATTGCTGTGACAGTTTAGTAAGGACAATTCAGGTTAAATGAGTTTAGTTTGCAGTCACATCTAGTGGTGACAAATAAAGAACCAAGTGAAGAATGCACATGACTCCAAACTATTCCCAGCTTGGTCACTGCCCTCACCTCACACCCAGCTCTGCCCAGGCAGTTGTGGCAGTGGCTCAGGATGCCCTGCTTGGAGCAGAGAGAGAACTCTGCTCACACTCAGCCTGTTTATGTAGGGCCTGCAGCAGAGCTGTGGTTTGGCCACAGTTCTCCTATACTGCTTCAAAGAGGGAGGAAGGCTCATTGGTGTGCCGATGAGCAGATCTGTTACCCCCCTTCTTTAGTCATGATGAAGGACAAGCAAACATCTTGGTCATGCTCTAGAAATCTTACTGCCTGCCACAGTGTTGTGGTTTCCCCAGTGGCTCATGCCTGCAGTCACAAAAGAAAGCAGCTTCTCCACCTTTACAGCATAAGTCACATGTAATTTAACATGCACAACTGTCTTTCCCACATGCAGGTACAGTCCTACATGGACCATCACTGTAACAATTCCACTGACAGGCATATCCTCAACATGTTCCTAAACATCTGCAATGACCTAAGCAAGCTCTGCCAGAAGCTGGAAAGTGTGCAGCCTTGTAACAGCACAACCAATGACATTCTGGGGAGGTGCAAGGTGCTCCTCAGCCACAGCAACGACCTGAGCAGCATCCGAGCCAAGTAGGTGTCTCCATCAGCTTTGTTTCTTTGAGGCGACTGTCAGTGCTGGGGAACTGTCACAGGAATGCATATTCCCACCTGACTTTTCCATCAGTTCTGCTACAACACCCTTCTCTGGCTCTAGTGAGGGTACGAGATGCTACCCAGTTTACCATTCCAGCTGGTGGGAAAACCAGCCTCTGATCACAAAAAGGGAGTTGGTTTCTTGATTCATTCTTTTTACTGGTACTTGGAAGGCAGGTTAGCACCCTGAAGTCCCATGCAACACTCAGGCAGTTTACCTTCTTCCTCCTCCTATTCCTGCTCTGCAGGAATAATTTCCATGGGGCCTTGGGTGAGATGGTTTAGTGTGAGGTGTCCCTGCCCATGGCAGGGGGGTTGGAACTTGATGATCTTAAGGTTCTTTCCAACCCTAACTATTCTACGGTTCTATGATTTTAAGTGTTTGTACACACTCTTCAAGTCTTTCAGCTCCAGTCCAACAGCCGAGACGGTGTGTTTGGCAGGACTCATTTCTCAGGATGCAGTCCTATCTGTGCCTTTTTGCTCTGGGGAGATGAATGGCTACGTTTCTGCTCTTCACAGGCGGTCTCAGGGACGCACTGTGGGCTCACCGGGGTTACACTGCTGGGACTAGTCTGCCACTTGTTTCCTTCTGTCCCACAGATACCCTCATGATGTTGTGAATCACCTGAGCTGTCATGAAGCAAAGAATCATTTTGGAGGGGTGGTGAGCCTCATCCCCATTGTTCTAGACTGCATAAAGGAGTGGATAACCCACACTGAGAAGCTGTCACGGGAGGTGCTGCAAAATGTGAGTGGTGGAAATGCTATCTCTGAGAAGTCAGCACCCCAAGGTGTACCAGACAAGGCAGTCATTTCCCAAACAACACCTTCTGTGCACCTTGAAGTTCAGACCTCAGCTAATAAGAAAGATAATGTACAAGTGCAGGGGAATAAGCACGTCTGGAAGAAGCAGCACCTCAATGACACAAAAAGTCACAGTGGGAAATGCAAAAGTCCCTGGAAACCTCCAGGTAGACATGCCTTTTAAAGGATCAAAGTTCACCCATCTCATACTTACCACCTTTAACGAGGTGGTTGAAGACAGTGAAATGATTACTAGAGATCCTGCCTATCCAAGTCCACTTTCTGAATAGTTAGCCCTCTAACCCAGCCTTGAGCAGATACACACTCTCACCCTTGCTGGTATTTCCAGCTGTATCCTTACCAGCAGTAGTTGTAACATTAGAGCTTATGCCTTTGACCAGCACTGCTGTGAGAGCAGGGAACAGTCAGGAGTAATCAGGTTCTAATCTTTCAGCCACGAATCTTGGGCAGGTTTCTTGAAAATGGGATTTTACACTTTCTCAAGCTTCTGAGGAACACCCACTCAGTCACCAAAGCCAGAGGCGTGAAGAACCTGCATGTCCGAAGAACGTGATGCAGAGCAGCAAAGCTGGATTCAGACACATGTCTGGGATTCAGGCGTGTCCCTGAAGTTCCCTCACCCCCACTGAAATTGTTTGGTCATTTGGAGCACAGAATCAATGTTTACAGGACACTAATGATGTTTCCCTTACATGCCATCAGCTACCAAAAAGGTCAGTGTGTTTTTAGCTGCACTGATTGTGCTCTGCTGCATCCTTCCTGCAGGTTCTCACACCATGGCCGGCACATACCCCTCCAAACATCTTCCCTTACACCTTTTTACCTCCTTGCTGTCAGAGCTAGAGATGGAAGAGAGAACAAGCATCATTTGCACTTAGTTTGGTGCACTGACAATATCCAAACTTGGATAAAACCCTAACCCATATCATCCCCAGAGCTCTGCAAAACCAACAAAGTCATTCCTAATGTGATTCATGGGAATCTGGGGGGAGCAGAGAGAGTGAGAAAGCTGTGGCCATTTTCAGATGGTTCCTTTTCAAATTGTAAGTTAAAATGCCTGTGCTTTCTCTTTTTTGAGATGAGAATCCAGCTTGCCTAGCTTTCAAAGATGTTGTGAGGCTTAAAATTCATTAAAATTACAAGGCATTTGAACTAGCCTCATGCTGCTTTTATACCAACACTTTACAATTCCAGCACAGCGACTTTATACCAGTGCTGGAAACAACTTTCACTCCAGCCTGCTCAGGGAGGGTCAGCAGAGCCACAGGCCCTCCCCATTCTCTGGAGCTGATAACGCATTTCTGGTGATGCTTTTACTCAAGCACAGTTAACTACAAACTTAAGATCTCAATAATATGGTGCCTTCCCTGTATGTGACTGCTCTTTTCCCCTCCCACAGAGAAGTTAGCTCCTGTTCTTTGCTTCCTGCTAGAAGACACTCCTGAATAAACAATTTCCCTTTGCATTCCTGGCTCAGTTTGCTAAAGTTGTGAGAAAACTTTTAGTTTAACGTGACCAGATTTTGGCAACCAGAAGCCAAAAAAAGAAGAATTAATGCAGAGGAGGCAGCGTAGGAAGGAATGATAGCTCAGATGAAATGGCAAGTATTTTCAGGAATATTTTGATTCCTCACGTAACCCCACCTTCTTTTGCACTTCTCCTCCCTTCCCCTATCCACTTATTCTGCAATGCAATATATCTGTCCACACTGGAGTAGAAGCCTATTTTTAGGAGACAACATGATCCAACTGCATTGAATCTTGGTGAACTCAAGTGGGTAATAAAGCTTGCCAGGGTCCCAGCAAGGCTCCCAGGCACTGCTGGGGATGCAGCCAGCCGGATGAGCCTGTTACCCTCTCAGCCTCTACTTGAGATCCCTGTTGCAAAGGCAGCTTCAGGCAGAAAAATCAGTGTTGCTCACAGCTGCCCTATTGTGTTTCACATGGCAAAGACAAGTGTCCGATGACAGTTGCTGTCTTGGAAAGTTTTTCAGTACAAGCACACGCTACATGGACTAAAAGAAGACAAGTGTTGGGGACACAAGAGATGCTGCTTCCAGATCTTGTTTCCAACCTTCCTCACCCTGTCACATAGTTTAAATTTGAACAGTCAGGCTCTGATGAGCCCTACTCTGGTCTCACTGTTCACAATGCCAATGCAGTTGTCCACTTGTGCTTGACCAAGGTCACCATACATGCAAGAAAATCTCTAAATAAATCCCTAAACCTTACCAATAATTTCTAGCCTAGCCCTTTCAGTCTTACGCAGCCAAATTTTAAGACACAAGCAGAAAAATGAGTGCATAAAACCTGCAGTCTGAGGCTTGGTAATGACATGACCAGGATCTGCTGGAAGACTGCAAAGTTAAGGCTCACAAAAACATCTAGACAAATTACTTAATTTCCATACAAGTTCTCCTCTTCCAGGGTGGATGGACACTTCAAAAGACAAAAAGATACAGCAGGAATTGTTTTTCTCTACTACAAAATCAAGCCGTTTGAAGAATCTGCATAAACAGGATGTAAATGCCAAACACAGAAGTGCAATAAAGTTTAACTTTAGCCTCTGTGAGCATAAAATTGCAATTTACACACTGAGAAACCCTGCAGGGCCCCAGAGTGACTTACCCAGAGATCTGTCACTTAGTCCAGGAAATAAGTGCTGCTTTTTCATTCAAATACTGTATAAGAGGTATGGGCTGGTAGCATTTGATCTCAACAGCATCCTGGCCTCTGCAGACTATAAATATCCTCTGTGCTCCCCTCAATTCAGCCAAGGGTCAAACGAGGCTTTTCTCAACCTGTAATTGGGTCAAAACATCCTGTAAGTGAAACACCCAGTCCCAGCACCTCACCAGCAGAGGGGATGGGATCAGGCCCCATGAGGTGAGGACCAAGCACTGGGGTGGGCTCCTGAAGGCAGGAGAGGGGTGATTTGAAAGAGAGGGGGACTCAGCATCCCCAAAACTGTACCAGAGCTGGCAGTGGGAAGTGGCAAGCTTGGCAGGGCCTCTAGTGGCTGCAGCTGGGAGGGTGTGCTTGAAGTGAAAGGGACGGCAAGAAAATCAGGTTTAGCCAAAGTAGAGCTCAGGGATGCAGGTTTTGTGCAGCCACCCACAAAATAAAGTTCTGTCTGAAAAGTAAAGCCTGGGTGAACAGTAACTAAGCTCTTCTTGTGAAGTTCTTGTGTGTACGAATGTATGAAGTAACTCCTGCTGATTCTCTAAATTCTTTTGTAACCTCTTTTAAAATCTACCACTGCACCAGCAGCTAAACAGTTCTAATAAATCAAGATCAAGCAAAGAATCTTCAAATTCTTTCTTTCTTTCCCTAATGTCTACTCCATGTTTATTACCTTTGATGTAAACCATCAAACACACTACTTAGCATTAGTGAGAAAGGAAGGTACTTTAGTTTTCTCTTTTTGTTCCCCCCTGGATGTACTTCTGTGGGTAATATATATCTAATTCTTTTTTTTTTTTAAACTGGCAAGTACAGCTTTCCAAGGCTAAGCTTGTTAAGGAATATGCAAATGGTTTAAAATAAGGTAAAAGCAAGTCAAATTCACTTTCTGCTTTGTATTCATTTCACCTACCCCACGCTGCAGAACTCATGGAACCCCACTCAAAAGGGGCAGAACCACTTACCTGCTCTGTGCTATGCAGCTCCTGGAAGATGTTTCAATACTGAACTTGTTTCTGTGCGTTTTGTCTCAGCATGGCTTGGTCCCAGAGAGGTCAGCTTGGAGGGAATTTAACACAGAGTAGTGCAAAACAATACATTTTATTTGTTCACAGTTAAACACAAGCAACTGCCTTGACATTTTAGAACATTCTAATAAGGACAGCAAAACCTCCTTTTGGTTTAAGTTCTCTTTAGCTTACGATTGTACCATTTCCTCGTATTTCATATTTATGGCATTTAATGTGGATTGTTTAACATGCTTACAAAGAGCGAGGCAGGGAACAGATTAACTTGACAAAGACAGCAATTTTAGATTTAACTAAAAGCAGTCAGTTAAAAAAATCTGTTTCCACTTCACCGATGGGACCCCTTCAAACAAACTGCAAGTTAACTACATACAGCAGATCCATGATTTTTAGACTTAGAAAAAAAAAAGTAATTGCAAAATTTGTTCCTCCATAATCTTTGTGGTCCATAAACAAACCTAAAGTGGTTTCCACTACTATCCCGGTGCTAAAATCCTTTTTAAAAGAAGAAAAAAGTCACCTTATCACTGAGCTTGCATTACCGCCAGGGCACTTCTGTAACCGACAACAAAGACCGCCTCTCCGCACAACAAGTGACCTCATCCTGCAAGACACTCTCCTGGGCTCAGCAAAACACAAGGACGGGTCAATGAACTCCTCCAACAAAACAGCATCCAGTGGCCGAGCCCCCTTCAAGGTCAGTGTGCAAACCGTTCACTCCTGGGGCTGGCACCCGCTGGGGTAAGGGGCAAGAAACCTTCAAATCTGACCAAAACATATGCTACCACGTTTGCTACCACTAAGTCTTAGAAAGCCTATAAACATGTCGACAAAACCAGTCTGTCACTTACAACCAACTCTCTATTTTCTATTCCATGCAGATTCAAGCTTGGACAAAACCACTGAAGTTCACCTTTACTTTCAGAGTTAGGACTGACCAACCGAAAGGACACTGAGAATAATTTAGACAGGCAGAAATGTATTTAGACCCTAGGTGTTATGGAAGAAGCAGAAAGGTGAGGAGAAGTACTGTCAGGAACAAGTTAGCATATTGCCAGCTGCTCTTAGAAAGTCTTGTTCCTATTCAGGTTAAGAAGGGATTTGAACTACAAGTGCAAGTGTACTTGGACTTGATTTATATGTGAGACAGTTTTCAAACAGCAGCTGCCACCCACAGAACATTTAAGAAAAGAGGCCATGTGTGATGCAGGGTAACTGTGAAGCCTGATATGTCTAAGTACGCCTGGACCCAGACATATCTAACATTTAAAACAAGCACACTGCCTTCCTAACAGCAGGCTCTGCTCTGTCACGAAGGAGATTGAGTCTGACCACTGACAAGCCCTGATCCCACAATCCTCCTTCACAGAAGGCTCATCATTGACTTAAAAATATGATTAACACAGGAAGGCTTCACATGGAATTCTGATCCACAGTCTGAGCAGGCTTCCTCCTCGGCCTTGTCCTCTAAGGAAACAGGATGAGGACAAAGGGGAGATACCTAAAGCCAAATTACCATTGCCGAGCTGAAAAATGTGCTGCAGT